AGGTCACCTTAACTTTTTGCAGTTTGCCAGTTCTTAGTTGCTTTACACGGTTCCTTGGGGTGAGCTGTGCTAAGGGAAGGTACAGGAGCACCTCAGGAAGAGAATGCAAAGAGTCTGCAGGGAGTGGCTGGGTAGAGGAAGGAAGCCGAAAGCTGCTGGAAAAAGGCAGGCAACTTGATGGAAGAAGCAGAAGAGGACACTTTGCAGGAATGTGTTGGCTGTGATTCTCTTGCACTGTATGGCTGGTCCTCTAGCTGATAGGAGCCTGCATGCTGCCTATGGCCGAGCTTTGTCTTTAAGAGGAAAAGCAGCTCTGTGTTATGTCTTCATCTCTAACATGGACTTGGAGAGCAGATGAGAAATGCAGGATTGGTCTAGCATAGCTTTTTCAAATAACTCAGTTTGATTAATGGACAAGCTTGCAGTTACCTGGGCCAACTCGAAGAATTCCTTATCTTCTTTCTAAGATAAACAAGAGGAGGCTGTTTTCAAAGTGCAGCCAGAATCCTTCCTGAGAGGGAGAAATGTAAAGGTAAAAGAAAGGCGAAGTATCTTGAAATGCTGTGTGTCTTCAATATACAGTATCTGCCAAATATCTCAATTTGGACACAGTATTTTTGGATGATAGTAATGTGCTCTTGAGTTATATTCTATTGTGTGATTACACTGTAAGTGGTGCAAGTAACAAGTCATGGCAGACTGCAAATGTGAGTTATTGGGCATTCAGATGACATGAATTGTAAGCAGGCAGGAGAATTTTCCTCCGAAGGAACTAAAGGCAAAAAGTGACTGAGACTTTTTGGCACTTGAGGGCTAATGAATGTCCCTTATACTGGAACATGCTGGGGTAGCAAACTAGCGCTTATTTTAGAAAAAAGAAACAACAACAACAAAATCCCCTAATTCTTGTGATTCTTACCTAGCACTGAGCCTAGTAGAATATTTCTTGTTAACTCAGGTCACCTTCTCCAAGTCAAAAAATAATGAAGGGTGACTGAAGAGCAAAGAACTGTGGAAACAGAAAAAATTCTTTTCACCTCTGCACTCTATTTCTATGATCTTTCTGATACTCGTGACTTTCCATAGGGTTGTTTCACATGTTGCGTAACACATTAAATTATTATAAGCCAGCTGCATCATCATGTGTGTGTAACTTCTACCATGTATTGATGCACTGGCATCAAATAAAGCCTGAATGTGTTAAACTAAAACAAATCATTCTTCAGAAACATTTATTTCGCTGCAGACAAGATGTATTGAAGCACTGCTTCAGTGTTTCAGAACTTGGAAATGGCCTTGTTTGCACATAATTTCAATTAAAAAGTTATTTTTATTTAGCAATTTAAGTGTTACACAGTACACAATACATACCTATCACTTCTAGTAGATGTTCCACGCGGTTTGAGCTTGCAAAGGTTTCCAGGCTGTCTGTAAACCCAAGCAAGGATCATGTGCTACTTGATTCTAGAAATCAAAAGTTAGATTCACTTTTGAAGTAGAAGATGCACAAATGTAAGGAAGTGGCATAAATAGAGTAAATACAGTAACTACTCTAAAAGGAGATCTCTTACAGTGCTGGATATGCAAATGTAGGGTTTATACGCCAATATGGAGGAACAAAAAAGAAAATAGTCCTTTTTTAATTACTAATAAAATATGCAGTACTTAACTGTATGCGTTTCTGCATGTCATGGTAGATACTAGTAGAGGGCATCTGTGCAGGTGCAGCAGAGTCTTTCGAAAAGCTTCAAAGAACTTGATAAGCAAATGAACAAAGGCCTAATAAACCAAACCAAATAAACCAAACCCTTGGTTTGAACTGGGAGCTTGTAGGGTCACCTGTTCAGGCTGGTTTGTCTCTGCTTATATGGGGTTCTTGAACTTCTCTGAGTAACTAATATTTAAAGTTCTTAACATGGTGTTTTTCCTTTAGATTCCATTGTGACCTTAGGAATTTATCCCACCTGCTATATAACCCAAGTATAACACTAAGGAAAATGATAATTCTTGGCAACAAGCTTATTCAGAAGTGGCAATAAATAATAAAGCTGGTGCTAAGCTAGCTGTTCCCTTCCATCTGTGGGCTGGAGGGCATTTGTGCCCACCTGAATTTCTATGGCTATTGCATGTGGAACTTCAGTAGTCTACATCCGGATGGGAATAGGTGTTACTGAGGCTGAAGTGGTCCCACATAGAACTGGTGACTAACTCTATGAATTCTGAAATCCCGCTGTAAAATGAAATCTGGAATCTGCCCTTTCATGCTGAGAAATAATTTTAAGTAGTGTTGACCGACTTCTGTGCTGTTGGCGTACAAGTTAATGTGGTTAGAAATGCACCCTTTCAAAAGAGCCCAGGGTTACCCTTCATCTGAGAGCTGGCCCTGTAGAGCAAAACCCAACACACGTGACCACAACACAACTTATTCTCAAGCAGTACAGTTCAAAACTCTTCAGTCCAGTTGTGTTGAATTTCTTCTATGTGTTGTATGCCAGTGTTTGGTTTCATGTACAATACTGTGGTGTTTGACTACGTATGATTTTTTTTTTCACTTTGACAACTGCCATCCAGTTTTGTTGTTGAACCTTGTTATGTGAAAAAATAGAATTATATTTGAAATGGCTTATTAGCAGGTCCCTTTTTGCTACTAACTCATTTTAATTCTATTGTACAAGTCTAATTGGCTTTCATCTCTTCTGTTGAAGTTTCAATGCATGTTCTTTTGAGCTTTTTAGATTAACTGGCACAAACTTGTTTTTAAAATGGTTGTTTTCATTTTAAAATTGACATTCAAGTTAAAGCATGTTAAGCTTTTTCCTGTACTAGTTTGACAGTGCAATTGCGGTATTCCCCAACAGATTTTTTTTTTAACTTGCTGACTTTGTAGTAGTAGAAAAATGGCCTTTATGAGCATCTTGAAGTGTTTAATCTATATTGCACTGTCTTTTGTGAAGAAAATGCTTGCCTATGAGGATAGTCCAAATGGCAGTGTCCATTAGGACTACTTCATGGAATTAAGAGCTACAGATGGTGGTTTAAGCCTAGGAATAATGCTGTAAAAGTTCAGAGCTTGAAATTTAGACATACCACTTAGCAAGTGGTGAACAAAAAAAACAGAGAAAACTCATGAGCAAGTCGTTTCAAAACCCCAACCCAGTTGTTTTCCTTGACTTGACTGGTTGGCCTCAAGGTGGCCCTCAATGAAGGGAAGACAGACTGTGGCTGGCCAGTAGCTAAGATGAACATTCTTGATCTGTCAGAAGCAAGATCAGTAAATATAACCTATGCATCAGGTTATGGCTTCAGAAAGATGCGATTGGAATACTGTTAAGAAACATGTAAATTCAATTTCTCAGATGTTGCATGACTGACTTGGCTCAAAAGCTAGAAATGATAGATGCAGATCTCTGCCAATGTAATTGGATTGTTATTCTTAGCAGTGCTTAAGTTTGCAAAGCACTATGCAAGTAAATTCACAGTTGCAGATTAATCACATGTCTTATGGGCTTTCAGCATGCAAGTTTTTAGTATCTTTAACAACACCAACTTACTGCCATATCTCTGCTCTTTTTTCATTAGTTAATTTTGGGTAGTACATGAGCATGCTGCTCTGAACCCTTATACAATGAGAATAACGCCTTCTTTTACACTCGCTGTACTTTCTGTGGGCAGCCTGAGAAGCTCCATCTTCAAACCCTGGTCTAGAAACTGCTCGTGTGGGGTTGGGGGAGACAAAGCGTTTTGCACTGCATGACATGTCTTGCTGTCAGAGTAACAATATTCATGTTGTATAAGGGGATCTACCTGTGCAATTTAACTTGGTTCTTTTACTATATTTTTCTTCTCTTTATCCCTTTTTTTTCCCCTTTTAATTTCTGTTCTTAAACTGCACCCAAGATGCCTTTGCAGCTTCTCCTGGGGAAGCCCCTGCAGCAGCTGAAGGGGCAGCAGCACCAGCTACCCCAACCCCTGTAGCAGCAGCTCTTGATGCATGTTCAGGAAATGGTGGGTTTTATGTCATTAGATAGTCTCTTGTGTTGCTGTTTCTTTTTGTTTAAACTACATGGCAGTGTGTTTTTCTGAAATTTTCATAGTGTTTGCGATTGGTCAAAACAAACCTTAGACTGAAGAGCATGCTTAAGAAAACTGCCTGTTTCTGAGTCCCAGTAACTTTGTGCTTGTTTGGTAGTGTTAAATGATTCTGGCAGTGCTGAGTTTTGCAAGCAGTAACTTGCTGAACGGGATATTCTTTTGTCATATTCCTGTCGTTTTTTGGTCTTGTCAAACAGCGTTTGAGAGTTCTGCCCTTTCGTAACTAGATTGCTCAGCCTTTCAGGTGGTCTTTATTTTGGAAAAACATAAGTAACATGTCTGGATAAGTAGGGTAGATGTTAGTGACCTCCTCTGTGTGTGTGTATTTGCAGTATGTGCATTGCCTGTAGTTGCTTTGTTCTTGACTGCCTCCCTCACTAATCCTACGTATGCATACACATATATTTCCCCTCTCCTTTTTACAAGACCCCTTTGCCCCATCCGAAGGTAGTGCAGAGGCTGCTCCTGAGCTGGACCTCTTTGCTATGAAGCCAACAGAGACTGCTGTTCCTGTAGTTACCCCTACAACTAGTGCAGCCACTCCAGTTCCTGCAACAACTCCTTCTCCAGCCGCTGCTGTTGCTGCTGCTGCTACTGCTACTACGGCTAACTCCCCGACCCGCCCCCTGCCACTCCCACTACTGCCACCACTTCTGCTACCGCCACCACCTCCGCTCCTCCTGCTCTAGATATCTTTGGTGGTAATTTTGTTTTTAACTCTTTGATTCTGGTGGATTGATCTGTCAGAAGTTCAGAACAAACAAATCGTTGTTGCATGCATGCTGTGTGCTAGGCTTTCAAACCAGAGAGCCTATTAACTCCAAATACGATGTGCAAAACTTGAAAGTTCTGCTTTCAGTCCTGCCTTTCAAAAATGAGTTAAAGACATGTTATGTTCTTGGCCTTAGATTTATTTGAGTCTGTTCCTGATGTACCTGCAGCACCTAAACCAGATGCTACTCCTAGCATAGATCTCTTTGGTACAGGTAAAGAGAGAATTCTTCCAATACTCTGCTGCTTTGATGCTGTGTCATGGTATAAACTGATGTGAATGATACGTACTTCTCCTTGGTTTTTCCTTTATTTCTGGAAGATGCATTTTCATCTCCACCGCCTGGAGCCTCTCCTGTGCCTGAGAGTTCTCTCACTGCTGATCTCTTATCTGGTGAGTGCTTGTCTTCAGAGGCCATCCTACAGACTTAAGTTGTGTTTTGGTTTTGGTTTGGTTTGATTTTTTTTTTTTTTCCTCATGAGTGGGGGAAAAAAAAGACTTATTGCAAATTCATGTCTTTAAGCTGAAATACTAAAAGTTGTGGGCTTGTTGACACTTTGGTTACAAGATTAGTAGCTGCTGAAGATGCAAACCGTGAAGTGGCTGACACTGAAGTTGAGTAAGTACTGTGGTCATTGAGAGTAAATCCTCCTCTAAGCGTAAGAAAATTCTTAATAAACAATGCTTTCTTTAAAGTACTGTTGTTTTCAGTTGCTGTGTGAGAAATGTAACACTTTCTGTTTGCAGTTTTGAAGACTGTTACCCGAATTTACCAACCCTGTGGTTCTAGCTGGTAGAGCCCATGTGACTTTGAAATATTTAGCTATCATTGTTGCCTTGCTGATACTAAATATTATTTATCCTATGCTTACTGCAGTGGATGCATTTGCAGCCCCCTCTCCTCTACCCACTGCCTCTCCAGCAAAGGTGGATTCTTCAGGTGTGATTGACCTATTTGGTGGTGGGTATTTTTCCTTCCTCACCACTTCAGAGTTGAATCACTTCATTTTAATTACCTTTGCACTTGGCTAAAGCTGCAGTTTCCCCTTCTCACAGCTTTTCTATGTAGCATCATGGCATGTCTTGTTGTTTGTATTGCAGTATAACGAACTGCAAATAAGCTGTGTGGTGTGGCCATTCTGTTGTCCTGACACTTGCCATTCTGTCTTCAGTCCGTGCATGTATGGCTCTTCCTCAGAGGTCCAATGAAAGTCTGTGTGCTTTTTTCTTCTTTGCAACTCTCTGTAGTCATGCTGTTTTGTCTCGGTTTAGTTTCTCAAAGCAGCTGAAGTTTGGAGGGGGACTTGTCTCAGACTGGGTATTTGAATCACGGGATCTTTGTTGGGTTTGGCAAGGTGGGAATTAGGATGGGCACAACCAGCTCTGGGAATGTTGGTTTGAAGTAGTGAATTTTCAAACATTAGTTAAATATTCCTCTAAAGTCTTAATGTGAGTCAGTAGGTTCTGGTCGGCATGATTCCAATCTCATCCAATGCATTCATCTACAAAGGGTTTAACCCTCTCATCTAAAATGCTGTGGTTTGTGTGGGTTTTTTGAGAAGAGGCCCAACTAAAAGGAGCGAGATTTTCCAGTGCTGGTTTGCACCTCCTTTTTTTCACCTGAGCTTTCTGCGGTACTGCTCTGCAATAAAGATGGCCAAGCACTTTCATTTTCTTCTTCTGATGAATAACAGTTATCTTTTTGTCATGTTTTGTTTACAATAAGTGATGAATTTATGCATTTAATATGGAACTCTTTACCTTTTCTTGGTGCTTTTTGGAATTCCCTTTAGATGCTTTTGGAAGTAGTGCTCCTGAACCCCAGCCCGCAACCCCGGCTGCTTCTAGTTCCTCAGCTTCTGCAGACCTACTTGCTGGTAATACAGAACTTCTGAAAACTTGTTATTTTAAGGCAAAACTAAGAAATGGTCTTTGAAATCTTTTCTGTTCCTTGGGTGTAAGCGGACTTTTGCAGTGGATTAGAAGTCTTGTTCACAGGATTTCTTGCTACTTTAAACTTTCTAAATTAACTTTCTAGATTATTTTTGTCCCATGGTCTTTGTTTTCCTATCTCCTACCCAAGCCTTATTTTTCTGTACTGTTCACTGAATAGGAGTGTGTATGTGAAGTTTCTCTGTCTGACTGTAACAGCATTTCAGCAGTATTGCAGACTGTGCTACTTGTTCCTTCCTGCTAATTAATCTTCATTTCTTGGTTGATTTAATTGAGACAAGTTGCACACTTAAATGTTAGGAGCTTGAATGAATGACTTGTTAGCAGGCTTGCATTTAGCCAAGGAGAGTTGGGTGATGTGAGAGCTTTTCTGAGCATGAGGGCATAAGTGATAAAAACCCCTCTGCTTATACTGGGTGAGATGAGGTCTGTGCTGGTGCTGAGTGTGGCATCACTGTCACACCTATTTCAAAGGTTAAATAACTGTTCTGAAAGACTAATCTGTCAGTAGGATTGGTTGGTAGGTTATCCTTCATGAACTTCAAAGATGATTGTTAGCCTTATGTTGTACCTTTTTGGCTTTAATTCTGAGGTGGACTAATAGCCTGCCCTTCATACAACTGCTCACCACTCTGGGTATGGTGGGCCCTGATGTCCGTTGCTCTGTTTGTCTGAAGGTGTCTCATGCCAACTTTTACACTATATCACAAGTCCAACCCTGTGTATGTTTTGTCTTTATATGCTTGAGAGGTCCTGTTTTGTTTGAGGAATACATAATTGAGACATCTCAGTATGTAATCTGCTTTGAGCGCTGTGCGTTGGTACCAGTGAGTGCTTGCATGCTAAAGCCATCTCAGAAGAAGACACGTTTTCTAGTACCTGCTCTAAGTGTAGGCATTGCCTGATTGTGCTGCAGGAAGGTAGAAGTAGTCTAGATATAATAATAATGATAATAATAATGATAATAATAATAGTGGTGTGTATATCCATTCCTAACCAGTTCCAGTGCTGGCAAGCCAGATACTTAAAGTGGAACATAATGCATAAATGCATACTAAAACTTTAGTACAGGCAGCTTCAGGATTTTAAGGTAGAAGACCACTTTCTGTTTCATATTGCTTCAGTAAGTCTTTGTATTAGTCTGTGGATAGCTTAAGGCTGGAGATGAGGCTTTAACTAGCAGATTCTGAAACATACCAGTCATTTGCAGTTGTGTGTTATCAGGGGACTGGGTGCAAAGATGTTGTTGAGCAGAAGCTAATTCTGCTTATGCGAACATTACAACGCAGAGTATTTTGTGTCCTTATCTGTAACTAAGCTTAAATTCCAGCAGGAAACTCCAGATGGCTTAAACATCAGCAGTGTGCTCTCTGAATCTGATGAGTCACATTAAATAAAAACCTAAATTATAAAAGGGATGTCATAAGTCTAAATACTCTAACAGAGCAGAAGCAGTTGGAGCAAATATGATTTTTTAAAATTCTATTTTATTTTTGCTTTGAAATTAAATTCAAAAGGGCTTCAAGGAGATATCAATCTTTTTTTTTTTTTGTAGATATAGAGAGTCTGTAAACATCACAGCATATTGCTAAGCATTTGTTCACCCTAGATCATGGCAGATGTATCGCCTGCAGTGTAATCCAGTTTTAAATTTAAGATTGTCCAGAATTTGTATAGTGACTGAAGGCTTGTCCTTCATGGTTTATGAATGTTTGGTTGTACTAAGTATGTATGTATAATGAGTATACTTACTATGCATCATTGTCTTAAGTGTTCTGCTGTCAGATAAGTTTCTAGTCTCTTCTTGGCTCACTTAGAAAATATGGTAGACTTTTTTTCATACTCTTCTAAGCCACTCAGACAAGACTAGAACTATGCTGATAAATACCATTTCACCCTTCTGGGTCTTTCTATCCAATTAAACTGTGTGCATGTGTATCTCAGTACGTACTCTAATAGCAAGTTCTCATAAAAAATCCTATATGAATGTGCAAGTAAAAGCAACCTCAAAATCAGGCAGTTGAGGATGTCCAGACGAGACATATAACTTGGCTGCTGCTGTTTCTGCAGACTTTCTGAGTCTTGTGCAAGCCCTAGAAAATAGGAACTTCATCCGTTAAAGCATTTTTATGGCTTCTGCACCTCATGTTGCTGTTAAATTGCACAAGGCTAAAAGCTATGAAAGTGAGACCAATTGTCATGCAAACTTCACCTGAAACTGGGGAGAACTTTCTTCGGTAGCTGGAGAAACAGACACACTGTGGGGCTTTGCAAAAAACCTACATAACTTTCTAAATAGCATCTTATAAATGGATATTGTGTCATGCCCTGCTGCCAAACTCCTCCTTCTCTAAACATGGTTAGAAAATCTTCAGAATTTTCTTTATTTTCTCAGTTTTAAAAAGCTGACTCCCCTACTGAACTGGTAGCTAAAGAAAGCTGAAGAAAGAAGGGGATAAAAGGAATTTAACTGCTTAACCAGGAGTGGTACAAACTGTCTCAATAAAAAGACAAAGTAGTATAAAGATTTAATGTAAATAGATCTCTTCTAAATTGATAAGTTTTATTTGGTACTTGATTTCAACAGTGTGACTGTTGGAGTAGCATCCTTTATTTTTTCAGATTTCACCCACATGAAAAGATCTGTATTTACTTAGGGTCAGAACAGGACTTAAAGTGGTCTCTACAAATTGGAGAAAGCTGTCTAGAGAAGAAATTTCAAATGAGTAAATGTCCAAGCTTCCGTCCCCGGGCAGCAAAGATCAGCTGGACAAGTAAGGACAGTGGACTGCAAGGCAGGATGTTCCCTGAAGAGAAGCTAAAGGCTGTGGTAGAGTGCTGGCTTATCACTGGCTTGTCCTCAGCTGTGGCAAAATAATACTCTTCCCACTCTGATATAGTGGAGTAAAGTACAGCTCTCAGGTTGTGCAAAGTGCTCTTCCCACTCTATTTGTGTGGTTGTGGTCAGAGCACTGTGCCCAAATCTGATCCTTTCTATGGAAGGGCAGCAGGGAAAAAGCAAGCTGAGAGATTGAGGATGTCCCTGTCTTGGGCATCACCATCAGGAAGAGATTGAATGAGAGGAATGGCTTGAAGACTAAAGAGGATTGAGAAGGTGTCGTATGTCTGTTCCTGTTTTGATGGAGTCTTTGCATATTTAATCAGATTCCAGAGTCTGTTGGTAATACAAATAAGCTTAAATTGCAAGGGAGATCAAATTATATTGTGGGCAAGGGAAGAATTTTAAGAATAGTCAAGCAGAGGAGTGCATTGCTTGTAGGTTAGAGAATCTCCATGAGTAGGATTTATTTCTTTAAATACAGGGTTTATAATATATACATTAACCTTAATTATGGATATTCTTCAGCCTACAAGCAGTTCATTTGCGGATGCTGTTCCTTCTTTGGCATGGGAGACAGGGGATGGGCGGGCAGCAGCTTGGAGACATCTTGACGAAGGAGACCAGGATGTCTTAAAATTGTGAGAATGGCTAAACTGCATTAGTGAAACACTGCCTTCTGAATTGAGATTCTGCAGTAGTTGTGGGATCATATGCTTTTCTCAAGTTAATCCTCTGTTCATCTTCTTTTCTCAACTAATTCTTGTTCGTTGCATTCTACCTCTGAGATTACTTACCTAGAACTATGTCATCGTACTGGAGAAATTGTGTTCTCTACTCTGCTGGTCTGCCTCTGCAGAACTCTAAATAACAAATGTTAAAGACTTTATTGCTGACTCTCACAAAAGCTTGGATTCCCTGGGTCATACCTGGCATATCAAGGATGCTGCTGTAGTACTGAGTTATTTACAATGATCTAGTAAGAATTGTCTCTATTTTTCTGCCTTCTATAAAATGAGCTTTTGTTAAACACAGCCCAGCAAGACTGACTCTAATGTCCAAACCTCTCTTATGTGGCTTATTTCAAGGCTTTGGAGGTTCTTTTATTGCTCCCTCTCCATCACCATCTCCAGTTACTCCAGCTCAAACCAGCTTACTACAGCCTAACTTTGATGCAGCTTTTGGGACAACAGCTCCAACGACTGGCAGTTCATTTGATGCATCAGGTGAGCCACAGGGTTTCTTCCTGTGAATTTTCTAATGTGTTCTCTGTGTTAGATGAGTCAATGACACCATATTCGGGCTTTGAGTAAAAGCAGTATCAGTGATTTCCCTGTTCCTTCTCTACTGGAAGAACTCAGGGTGGTGTTTAGGCTGGTGTGTGCCCAGGAGCTCTCTGTACCCATTTCTTACTCTACCACGTCAGTAAAAAACAAACTAGTGTGAACATCGTCCTTGCATGTGCTTGATGGCATGAATCAGGAATTACTCAAGGAAAACCCTGTTCTGTAAATCAAATATCTAGGCAAGTCTTCTTGCTGCTGCTGCTGCTGAAGCTTTTCTTGAGCTTGCATGGCACCTGAAGGTACACAAAACAGAGACTCAGGTAGTGTTCTTTGCCTGACTATAAGCTTAAACTTTCATCACTGCTATCATTTTGTTTGTATCTCTTCCATTCTATATTTTCCATGCTGGGTCCTTGCTACAAACTTAAAATTGGTGAGTTCTGCAACTGTACAAGAAAAAAAAAAAGGTTGAAGTAGTACTGCTGCTTGGTTATTTGGTTGCTTGCCAGTGCATATTGCTACCCCTTCCTGTTGACTTAACATTAGCATGTACCTGAAATACAGATCAGAAGAAAGAACGCTGGCATGAGATGTACCAGGTGGTTTTACTTAGGGATCTAAAAAAATGAACTTCTGAGTTAAATGGCTGGACTAAGGAGGTTAACTCTGTTGGTGTGGATAGTTCAGGTTCCTTCTGATCTCATAAGATGTTCGTAGGTTTTCCTGACTCCCTGCTGCTGCTTGCAAGTGAATAGTAACATCTTGAGACTTTCAATCCTATTGCCGTAACATGTCAAGGTGTAAGACTGCCTTTGCCACAGTAATTCTGACTGGTGTTTGCTGCAAGATGTTCAATTTAAAAGCCTTTAAATGAATATCTCCTGACAAATGTGTGTGCAGCTGACATAGCTCTAAGGATGGCTGTAAGAAAACTAGTGTCATGTGGAAGTGGTGCCGTATCTGTGTAGATTCAACTCTTCAATTAAAGTCCTTTTAGGCATGTCCTGCCACATTAGTTTTCATTGGTATAGCTCTTTCAGGATTACTGTACATTCAGTGTCTACTAAAACAAACTGCATGCCCTTGTTGGCATTACTTTTAATGTCAAACTATGTTTTGGTAAGACTTGTGTCGTGGTTGTCTGTGCTATATTTGTTGGAGCAACGGCAAAGTGGCAGGCAGTGTATTTCTTACCACAGCTGCTGTTTCTAACCCACTTTCCCTTTACTTCCAGTGTTTGATGGCCTAGGTGACCTTCTTATGCCAACTATGGTTCCTTCTGGTCAATCTGTAGCACCTTCAGCCACAGCAGCAGTCCCTGCTTCAGCTGCAAGCAAAGGCCTTGGAAGTGATCTCGACTCGTCTCTTGCAAACCTCGTAGGCAGTAAGTGACAAATTTTGGGTTTAAGTGATGTGGGTGTGGCATACAACTGTGTTACTCTTCTGTGGAGCCAAATACCTGCCTATTTTAGCTTGCTTCTTTCAATGTCCTCCTGTATCCTTGGGGAAATGGAGGAAGAAAATAAAACATAGCGATTTGTGACTTGCAAGTCTTTTACTGGTATTCTTTAAAACTTAGCTTAAAACTTCTTCCAAAGAGTAATTAAAGAAACCGCTTGGAGTTCCTGTGTATGATAGAGCAGATAAAACAGTGCAAAACGTCCAGATAACATTCAGGTTTATGTGCATAAAAATAGCTTTTTATTTCAGTGTGTTTATTTCTGTGAGGGACAGAAACTAGTGTTGTCATTCATGGTAAATAGTTTTCATACTCTTAAATAACTCAGACCTAAATATATTATGTTAGATTGCTTATGGAGCAAAAATGGCTTCTTCGAGTATAAGACGTCTGTGGGGTTCCTCAAGAGTTTGTCCTGAAGAAAGTGGTAGATGTGGCCAGTATAAATGTGACACTGTATAAATGAAGACATGCAAAACTTCATTACTCTGTATAAGCCCATGTGCAGTGAAATGGGAGCTGTTACTGTGACACACTTTACTTTAATAAGCGCCTGACTTTTTTTTCCTTTTTTGTCTTACAATTTTCAGATCTTGGAATTTCTGGTTCCACTTCAAAAAAGTAAGTTCCACTTTGTTGAGGGGAAAAAAAGTTTTCGAATCTGTTGTATAGTCTATTTCAGTGTTCATTAAGGATCAGTTAATTGGTCATGTATCCCCTAACCCCCGAAAATCGGTTCAGAAAAATCCTGGAAAAAAATATATTCTATTCTGTCCAGGTTCACTGAATAATTAAGGTTAACTGTTCCTGACATAGCTTTTACACTTGCTGGCTTTAATCTGAGTCTTAAAAAAAATATTTCTGTAAATCACTGTCCTCCTACCACATTCCTGATTCCCAAACAACTTAAAATGTCCAGATAATAAATTGTGTAGCTGTCCTCAGTAATCTAGGCTAATATGTAATAGCTTTGTTATGTTTTTACAGACCCTGGATGTGCTTATTGTGTAGGCATTGGAATACTTGTAAAATAGAAAAGAAGTTCATTCCATATAGTGAAAAGCTTCTTTTTGCAAGAAGAAATATTTACAGTGTTGCATTTATTTTTGAATGTATCTTCTTAACCTAACTGGTTGCTTATTTCTGTGCTGAGTCTTCCTCTGTATGCAAGACCAGTTTATGATGTGTACTTCAAAATGTGTTGTGCCTCTGTGGAGGCAATAGGACGGATATGTATAAACACATAATGTGTAACTTTATCCCCAAAACTTAGCTTCCTTTAATCTACTTCATTCAAATTGTGTAGCTTATTCTGAATAGAGCAGCCTCTCATAAAACCTGGTTTTGCAGCAGCCCTTTTATCCTATGAATGATTTGTTTCTCTTGTATCTATCGACTTCTTTCAGAACTGAATGTTTCCTCCTGCAGCTGTCTGAGCAAGATTTCCAGCAGTGAAATGACCTTTCAAAGACTTCTAGCAGGCAGCTCTACTGCCTGGTCCCAGTAGAATAGGCAGTAGCAGTTCCTCTTCCTACTTTGCAAGGGTATATGCAATAATATGTTACCTTCGGTCAATACTAAGTAAAACTTCTCCTTAATTCTCGCCACAAAGACCATAACCATGTAACTGACATCAGTATAGAGCGTAGTGGTGTCTACCACTAACAACCCTTGAAACCAAGTGGCACTACAAGCATTTCTTCCTGTTATAACTTTATGCATACACCATACTAATGTAGCCACAAGGTTAACTTTCAAGTATGCTGCAATTGGTTTCATTTTCACTGTATGTAAATAATAGCTCTGTCTCCCTCCATCTCTCTCTGTTAGGGGAGACCTTCAGTGGAATGCTGGAGAGAAAAAGTTAACAGGAGGAGCCAACTGGCAGCCAAAAGTAGCACCTGCAACGTGGTCAACTGGTGGTGTCCCGAGTGGTCCATTGGTAGGTCATTAATCCATCTATACCACTACTGAAAGCTCAATATTTTATGGCACTATGTGAGCATGTATGTAGGCACTGGTGCCATCTACTTCAGCTGAAGAGTTTGCTTCTGAATAAATGATACGGTTGTTTCATGTCACACTTTTAAGACCAGATTTACAGCTCACGTAAATAGTTTATTTCAGGTTGATGGAAAATACACTGACTTATGTGTTGAGATGTTACCCTGCATGTACGCTTAATACATGTCAGTCTTGCCAGCACCAGCCACCAAGTTGATTGCCCAAAGACATTGGTATTGATCCAAAGCTGAAGTATTGGAAGGAGAGAAAATGGTTTTTCTCAAGCTTTCTTGAATTAATTAGATCAAAAGACTACATAGTATTCAGCTTGTTCCTTAACCTTATGGAAGACACTAGAATTCCCTGAACTTGGTACTTCATTGAGTGTATTAGTTGTAATGTCATTTTTTTTTTTCTTAATAGAAAGGCTGGGCAATACTGTACAGTGTAAGTGATTTTTTTTTTGGTCTCTTGTACTTACTAAACATGAAGATACTAACAGCACCTCACCTGCACTGCAGTTATTACCGCTGCCTTGAAACTAGCTAGAAGCTACCTAACATGCCTGCTCTTGGACCGTCCAGCAGACAATTCTCAGGCAATGTGTTGGATATTTAGCAGCGATTAACCACTTCTGTGCTGTAAGCTTGAAAATAATGGCTTCCAACTGTCTTCGCTTTACTTGGATGAGAACTACCTGGTGGCTTGTACTACCTGAATTTTCTAACTTCTGTAACTTCAGCCTGATCTTGTAGTGGTTTTACCATCTGATAAGTAACTAGCCTTTCTGGAAAGCTGAGTGGTTTTGATAGCATTACATGGAACATGGGTGTGCTATACATATATACTTCTTCAAAATCATGCACTTGGGTATTTTTTTTGAAGCCAAAGAAAACCAGATCTGCAGGAAAAATAAATGGGAGACTAAAGTGAAGCTTTCATTCATATCACTGTTGAGCCTTGTGATCTTCCACCTTCTGGATTAAAATCAGCAGAATCTATAAAAGCCTGTTCCCTTGAGTGACCCTCGTGCTTTGAGGCAAAAGCAGATTCAGTTTGCGTGGCCGTTTTCCTGGCATGGATTTTGAACTACGGTGTGTTCCTGTGGCTGCAGTCAGATCACTATATTGGATATCATTAATCCATGTCTTTCTACTCCTTGCTTTCCATACCTGAGTGTTCAGATGTTGGTTTTAGTTTGCAGAGAGCTGTGCTGCTAGCACAGTACAGCTTTTAATTGAAATGCTCCCCAGAAAACTTCCAGACCGGAAAAGAGGTTCATAATTATTAGCCAGAAAGTGCTGATTAATGAATCTGGAACAGGTTTTCCTGGCTTGTCTCAGGTTTCTTAAGAAACTGGCATATTTTTGTCTGGAAGCAAGGGTCAACCAAGGGCACTAACTGCAGCATTCACAGAAGTGGACTGCGCAGTGAGTAATTCCAATATATCTCCAGAGACGTGCTGTCCTTTGAACTGATTTGTGCTAGCTGCTTTCCAGGCACGGTGGGATATAACTGCCTCAAGGTAGGTGGTAAAGATGTGGAGGCTCAGTTGTGACCCTACAGCTTCTGTAGTAGCTTGAGAAACTGTGCCAATATACTTAAGGCCATACAATAGCAGTAGTAGATTCCTAAAAATCCTACTACCATTTTTAAATCCTTCCTTGAGTGCTTCCTGCCTCTCTTTAGAGCTGTTAATAATTTGGATTGTATATACTTCTGTAAAAAAGAGAGACTTGGATGCTTTCAAAGCCATAGGGAGACTCTGGGCACGGGAGGTTATAGACAAGGGAACCAAAAGGGATGATGTGTAGGTTCTGCTGTTCAAAGATACTGTGCTGCGTAGCCAGTCAGACTACTAAACTAACAGTTCTTTCTTCTTAAATCTGAGTGAAAGATCACCCTTTTTAAAAATTGTTAGTTGAATGAAAATCATAAAAAGTTTGGCATATGAATGAAAAGCATAAGAAGATAACGATGCTTTCCTTTGTAAAGTATGTAATAGTTGTGATTGTGTGAACTTACTCTTTAACTTAAATGAATCTCACGGCATAAAAACACTATTTTTTTTTAAAGTGGCAACTAATTATAGCAGTTATTTTCCTTATCTTTACAACCTGCTTAAGCTTTTACCAAAATACCGTGCTACAAGTGCTATAGTGTGTTTGCTATCAATTATGAAATTGGGATGCTTTCTTAACACTGTATAGGAGGAGGAAAGTAGATATTTTTGTGTGCCTATTTTGAGTTGAGCATTCAGTAAATGGACTCCATTCATGAAGAGAATGCAGTCTGTCACCCTTGCTTTCTTACGGAAAAGTAAGCTGAGCATCAGTATAAGGACTCGTTCAACTCTCATTCTTTGAAGCATTGTGATTTTGAGGTTAGGCATTGTCTACTGCATAACAGTTCTAATTTCCAGAACAACTTTAAGAATGCTGTACACGCTGTGTGGTTTCCGCTGTGTTACAGACATTCTTGCATTTTGTATTTTCTTTAAAAAATTTTTTTAGACAGGAGCCGTGCCCCCAGCAAGTGCAGTTCCTGCCACAGGAGGTACCCCACCTGTCCCACAGCCAGGAGCAGCGTTTGGGATGGTGAGTGTCTTGTTGCACTGCTCTCCTTTCCTCACCCAGAACCCTACTGACGCCGTGTTCATTTATAGCCTCCAGCAGGTGCAGGTGTGCCCATGATGCCCCAGCAGCCAGTTATGTATGGGCAGCCTATGATGAGGCCACCATTTGGAGCTGCCACTGGCCCTGGTGTACAGGTAAGTGTTACTGTGTCATGCATGTTTAATTGCTCTCAATTTCTCTAGCAAGTAGCTTGTGTGCACATTATCCCAGTTCACGGGTGGTAGATCACTGGCACAGGTTGCCCAGAGAGGTGGTGGAGGCCCCATTCCTGGAGTTATTCAAGGTCAGGCTTGATGGGGCTCTGAGCAACTTGATCTGGTAACATTGTCCCTGGTCACTGCAGGGGTTGGACTGGATGAGCTTTAAAGGTCCCTTCCAACCCAACATATTCTATGATTCTATGAAGGTGGAGGAATGCAAATGAATAATCCTTATCTTCAGTGACTCCATATTATCACAGAATCCATAGAATTGTTTGGTTGGAAAAGACCTTTAAGTTCATCAAGTCCAACCATAACCTGTCTCTACCAAATCTTCAGCTAAACCATGTCCCTTAGTACCAGGTATTTTGAAAGTAGGAGATACATGACACTGCTCCATTTTCATGGTTTTAAGCTATATTTAACTAGTCTGACTTTGCAACAGGCACATATTTAGTCATAAAAGGGACACAAGTTTGGCCACTTAAAACCAAATCAAACCTATTTGTAATTCTATGCTAATTAAAAATAACCATGAAACATTGGGTCACAAGTTACTGGTTGCCAAGGAGATGAGTCCTTTCTTTAATATGATGAAAAAAATCTAGTGGAGTAATTAATGATGTAGGTTAAGTAAATGGAGACATGCCATCCTTCCTGTTGAACAGGGTTCTATCAGCTACTTCTCAGCGTTTCCTAAAGACTCTTTTTAACTTGAAGCTAATAAGTTTGGAAGTGCAGCACACTACCCACTCTGATGCAAAGCTTTCAGCTCATAGCCATTAGGTGATGTAGCATAAGCCATAATACCTGTTCCAGGCTATGTTTTCAAAGAGTTTGGTGTGTAATAACTCTGAAAAGGAAAGGGCCCTTCCAGAGGAGAATGACTTGGTTGTAGTATTTTGCTTCTTTGTAAGTTGGAAGTCCACCTTGTCTTCAATATAGAGTGGGAGATGGAAGTTGATGCTGCAGCTCTAAAATCTGACTTGTAATACTTGAAACTGAGCCACCTGCCATTTTTGCAAATATGAAGCAATCGACCTGTAGCAAACCACACTTTTTAAGTAGGGAACCACATTCCCATTGAAGTTTTTCTGAGTTTTCTGTGTATAAATGGGAAGAACTTAAAACTGCTTTAACCGAGAAGGTAGGTTGTAGGTATTAGAGCGTGGCATTTCATATATGGCTCTTTGGTCTTGCTTTTCCTTTTCCTTCTAGCTTAAACTGTCTCTTGACTTAGATTATCAAGAAAAATATTATGGAATACACAGTATTTTCTTGGAGAAGGGTGGTCATCAAGATGCCAGGGCTACACATAAAATACTTCTAGTGCCCTGAGAAAGGGAGATATGTGGAGGAGTAAGGGTGGGGTGGGAGAATAATGTGGCTCTCTGGTGAGAAGAGCTGCATGAAACCTGAAAAACTGGCATTGTCTATGGAAGAGAATTATTTTTATACCTACCAGAGGAGGAACAGAGTATAATATAGTCACATCTCCAATACACTTTGGACTCTTATTTATGTTAGCAATGTAGAACAACTTGTACTTAAATACCAGTCACCAGGATTTTCAGATGTACTCTGCAGCATGCACTCTGCTTATCCTCCACCTTGGTGTTTAACATCTAACGATTGCTTAACTTCTGTCTGGGTTGATGATCCTAACACCATTCTGTCTTAAAGGGAGAATGCGATTTGAAGCTACACTAATTAGAATATGCAGTGCCTATATCCTGAGCCATTAAACCAGCCAAACATTGTTAGCTGTTGTAAGGATGGAGTGCAAACAATGCTTGAGCAAAATGGCAACATGCTGAACTTGCAGAAAAATGAGAACTTTGTATGCTTGCAATGTGCTTGTGTGAGAACCAGCTATGTCTACCTAATGCTTGTGTATCCTTGTCTGCTTTGTTTTTCTCTGCCTTCCTGGCTGATGTCTCTTAGCTTTCTCCAAGCCCAACTCCTGCTACTCAGAGTCCCAAGAAACCTCCAACAAAGGACCCCTTAGCGGATCTTAACATCAAGGATTTCTTGTAAACGATAAGGTATTCTGTGACTGCCTGCATAAGCATGTTACGCTGTGGTACGTGTCTGGCACACAGATGTCGATTAGGCCGGTAGACTGAATATGACTGATAGAATTGTAGCTGCAGAGATAGGTACAAACATGCACTGATAATGTGGTTTAAACAGAAAACAGAGTTATCTGTCCACTCTTAATTTTAGCCTGAAAGCTTGACTTTTGGCTAGTTTTTTTGCCAGAAATGACTGCCAATAAAGGTTATTTATACACTAGACTATAGACTAACTAGTCTATAGCTTCCATTTTTTGCTTGTTTTCATGCAGTCCAAGGGTTTATCTTATTGGTTTGGGGTTTTTTGTTTGTTTTGTTGGTTTTTTATTATTCCTGAAAATAATAATGAAACAAATAGAATCATAACAGGGCAGAAATACTGGGGGCAAAACAGTGCTGAAGAGGCTTATTCTGGTCTTGTGGATGTAGAAACAGATTTGGTTTCATGGGCATGAAGCAATCTAAAGAGGAAAAACTTACATATTCTGATCATCGAGGGAAGGTTGTTTGCATCTCTTAACTGCTATCTGCTAATGTTCTCCCCCACCATACCATTTTTCAAGGCACTGCTTTTCTGAATGCTAAGGCATGAGGTCCTCAGCAGTGCTGTGTAGAACAGTGGGAGAAATAAATACAAAAAAAAAAAAAAGAGGAGGAGAAGTAAAAAAACCCAGTACTGTAGAATGGAAGGGGGAAAAAGCAAAATCATTACTGTGAGGGTTTCAGAGAAGGATGTGAAGAGTGCTAAGTAGAAACATCAGATTGAATTGAACACTTAAGCCAACTGAAAAATAATAGTGCAGAAGTAAGGTAGTCATTTTATAATTAAGACCAGAATAATTTACCAGGTGAGGAGAGAACAATAATTACGCATCTTTAAAACATTCTTCATAAGTCCCTTTTCTCTCTTCCTGTAGCTTAATTCTAAGACTTGTCCTAAGCACTGGGGTTGGCAGCAGTGGATGGGACCAGGCTGCTCTTAGCAGGCACCAGCCAGTCCCACCTCCCCCTTCTCCAAATTCCAGTCCCAGGAAGGTGCACCTGGTGCTTGGTGGAGATGGTCAGGGGTGGAGATGCACCCACACTGGTGGGACTCGCTGCTTTCAAATGAGTTTATATTAGACAGATTCATAACCATCTGTGGGAATGCTGCTTCATTAAAAACTGGTAACAACTCCTTTGAGGTGTGATGAGCAGATTTGGTGCTCTTTCTAGAATGTGCTTTGTCTAGCGCATTATTCCGGTTTTCACCTAATACTTTTCTATATTCACAGCTGCAGTTTTTCTGACTGGATGACAGAAACGTGAGTTTGGAGTCTACAAACAGATGCTCAGAGTTTCGAAGTGAGCCACCAGTACCAAACCCAGCGCTTAGTCAGACTTTCTCTTCCTCCTGAAACGTGTAGCACAGCTGTGAAAGTGAACATTAGGAATGCGTACTACCTTAGCTGTTATCCCTACTCTCGAAGTTTGTGTACTTGGGTTATTTGTGTTTTACAATTTAAACAATGGATGTATGTTTCTGATGCCTTCTAGTGCTTTTCTGAACCTATCCCACAGGGGCAGATTATGCAGCTGTTGTTTGGTGAGCCATTTGGAGCGATGTCTGTGGTTTTTGAAGGTTTCAATGTACATAACTTTTTGAGGACACCTAAAATTTCCCTAAGACTCAATTTCTCCTTTATCTGTTACGAAACATAGTGTGATAATACCAGATAGTAAGGAAAATACTTATGAAATTGTGTGGAATACATTTTTTTTTTCCAGTCACAGGAATCTCAATTGTTGTGAAAAAATGTTTTATTTTTGTGGCACTGTATATGTTAAGATAACTTAAAGTAATATAAAGGTAAACTTCCATAACAAATACTTTTTCAATGAGTTACCAAGAATGAACAATCATATCTGAAAGAATACCAATATTTATTGCTGTTTTTTATTTTAAAACCTACTTTAATTATTTAAGTTTTTGCATTTAAAATTGGCATATTTATCAGTTCTTGCTAAATGCACTGAAAATAAGTAAAGGGTCACTTTCTCTCCATGTAGTTGGAAAAAGCAACCATAGTTGTGCTGGCATTAAGGGATTTTAAATACGAGAGCACTCTTTGGTATATCTGTAGTCAGAACATTACAAGTGATGTTACTCATCTCTGTTCAGTTTTACGTACATCTCTTAATTTAGTGCTTACCTGTGTATGCCTTAGGCTAGTGTTTTCTCCATTGCCCCGAATGCGCTGTGAGTAGCTTTTGTACTATTGGTGATTAGAATTAATTCTGATCCGGAGATCCATGCCCTTTACTGTACATACTGTGTTTCTTTAATTTTCGTTTGTTCTCATACTGTTTCTGCTGACGGCTTGGCGTACGATCTTGACTCTTCGACGAGGTCACTGTTGATCAGTGTTACAAGTGGCTTGGCAGTTCTCTGTAAAAGCATATTGGGTTGGAAAGATTCACCTAAAGTCTTTCAAATGAACTATTTAATCAATGTATGGTACCATTAAAAGTGGTTGTATCTGAATTTGCTGTGAGGATGACATACACCGTAATGGGAAAGTTCTATAAAAAGCTAATTTCAAAATGGCTCTTCTTTGTATTTCAGTTTAAAGAAAAAAAACAAACATACAAAAAACAAAAAACCCCAGTGCATGTGTGCCCTCTGAGATGCAATAAACACCCTGATCAAAATAAATATCTTGTTGCCAGTTTCATGGTGGGAGGAAAATGTGTAGAGGTCCTGACACTGCTGAGTGCTGCCCATGGTAATGACTTTTGCTGATCTTTAGGCAGTACAGGAGAGATCCACACAGCCAGACTGAGCACAAAGCCACGAGTAAAATGCAGAGAGGAGGCAGCTTTGACTTGCAACACCTGAGAAGGCTTCATTAAAGTCCTTCATCTCCTTAAACTAGAGTAATTAAACTAGAGTAATATTGGAACTATGAAAGTTTATAACAGTGGTCCTGATTTCTTTCCTATAAGGCATCATTCAATGGTTTGAGAGCTAGCACAGCTACGATGCTGTGGGAATTGCTTGTGCTAAGGTTTAGTCTTATGGCTGGATGAAAGGAGTAATGAAGTACATTAAAGTCTTTCTGCTATGAGGTGACTAATTGGAAACCTCCTTGATTTATTAACAAAACAGTAATGATGGGCTACTGAATGCCAAGAGCTGCTTCAGAGTTCTATGTAAACCACAAAACACTGACATGACTTGATCATGCTCTGGTAAGGTTTGAATCTTGGAAACGTCTTTGAAATCCAATTCAAGTTGTGCAGCCATTAGGGGAGTGCCATTGCTAAGAGGTTTTTTGATCCTTTGGGCTTGTTACTTGCTACTGCATTGCTACTCTGAATGTATCAAGGTTGGCATTGGAAAAGGTGATTTTGGGCACTTTCAGACTTAGGATGAGTGCCCTGCTGAGCCAGGCTGTGCTGGATTAGAGATCTGTAAGGCTTAGCAAATTGCTGTGTTTTCTCACTGTTTGAGCACAAAGACCTGAGCAAGGTCAGTAACTGCACCCCCAGAAAGGCTCACTGTGGTTTTGCCCATCCTTCCAATGTGGTGTGTGTTGCCAAATGCAGGGAGCACTCGGCTTCTTACCACAGAGTAGTGAATGTCTTTTCAAAGTAAGCACAGCATTTTCAAAGGACAGTCATAACTGAACATGTAAATATACTCAGACCATCTTATTGGTGTGTCATTCGAATTAAAATGATGAACATTCCCAATGAATGTTTGCAATGTTACAAATTTCAAGGGGCCAGACCTCAGCGTGAGGGCTTGCTCTTTGCCAAGTGCGTGTCCCTGCCATGTGTTAATTGCCTTTCTGCATCAGCTTTCCCCATGCCTACAACCCTTGGTCCTTGTCCTTGTTAGTCTTCTACAGATCTCATGGCCAGCAGCTCCATGCAAGCCTGTGGTGTGTGGCGTTTGATACGCTGTGAAGAAATAGAAGCCTGGACAGAAAGCAAACGTGGTGGAAAAGCAAGCAGCTTGTGCACTGTGGGAAGTAAAAGCAGCGTATTTTCCCACTATGCTGAGTAAGGCTAAACAAAAGGAATGCTTGCTCTCTCCCATCACAAAGGAGTTACAAAATCAGGCTTGCAAGGAAAACAAGTGGTTGTCTCCTGGCCTGTAGGCAAGATGTTCTTGTTATCTTCTGAGTTTCACCATCCAGGCGTGAGTGCATCTGTGTCGTGCTCTGACTAACCACTTTCAATACAGGCTCTAGAGAAGAGTGGGTGGGTAGGAGGGCTTTCATCTGTGGGAGGAAGCAACTGTTTCTTTCCCCTGTGTTTTTTGTGGGGGGAGGGCACATTTCAGACAGCAGATTTTGCTGCTCTCTGTACTGGCTTCTTTTGGAGCTGGACCTTCTGGCCACATGAGACTTTCGTAGTTTCCCGTTAAGCCTTGGGTGCCTTAAGGAGTGCTAAATACCTGGAGAATATGAACTCAGCTGTAGAGGTTTGAACAAAAAACCCCAACTTATTCCTCAGAACTGACTCATTTTTGACTGTTCAGGATTAGCAGTGTCTCCTGCTCCTCTCCCCCATTCATAATTTTAATTTGCTTTATTAGAGATTTTTAGTTGTTTTATAATTATGCTTTTCAAAATGTACTATCGCTTGAGTTGAGGGCTTTTGGATTGATGCTGGTGTTTTCCTATAAGAAAGCCTGGATGGTGAGAACTAAATTGTTGTCTGCTGAGATCCTGGCAGAGACTTGCCTTAAAAACCAAGCAGGAAAGACTAGAGCAAAAACTGTAACTGGGAAGGAGAAGGGGAAGATTTGCTTTATAAATGCATTTGAGACTTTGGTAATATCAGGTGCTACTTACTGGTGGGTGACAGCATCTAGGTCATGAAATGTCCGGTAGCCCTAGCTGACGTTCATTTTTGGCATGAACTTTGCTCCTACCCCTTCTTCCTTACCTCTCACCCCTGTGTAATGCTGCCTGCTCAAGCAACTTATTCTGTATGGGGGGGAGAAAAGAAGTCCCAATAATTCTTAATACCTGGAAAAGCTGACAGAAACTTCCTGTGGTAGAAGTGGCAGCGACACAAAGATAAAACACTGAGTTAGTGATCCAACTTTTCTAAAATGTGAAATATATCAGAAATTATTTTAAAAGAGAGAACCTTTTTTTTTCATGTGTTGTATATTGCTAGCACTGTGAGCAGCGTGGGAAGTGGCAGACACCAAGTGGTAATGAGGGGATGAAATAGGAATTTCAGAGATGGGATTACAGGAGGAGAGAGGCTATACATATCTTAAAACAGACAGCACTGCCATTTTTTCTGTTCCAAGTCTTGGCTCGTAAATCTTCGCCACCTCTTCCCTTTCCCTTAATTAAATTCTGCAAATGCTGTGGGTAGCAGAAGCCTGGTGCTTGTTCTGTTGCCCGAGACATCTCTGAATGCAATTATAGGTGTAAGAATAGTTACTTTGGGAGTTAGCAAAGGTGGTAGAGCAGAAGCAGAAAGGGAAGCAAATGAAGGACTGTGGGTGTGGGTGTGATATCTACCTCACGGACTAAGGAGAGCTCTTCTCCAGCATTGTAGGGGAACCTATGAAGGGTCTGATGAATGTCTGCCCTGCAACAGAACTGTGAAACACCTACATCCAAAGGTTCATGGTTGAACATGGTGAAGTTTGGCCTATATTTTTGAAGTCTAGTTATGTATGATGGAAGAGATTTGTCAGTTTACCTCAATATCATAAATACCCAAAGTAGCCATCTTTTTTGAAGTTCTTGCCAAAGCACTGAGCCACCGTTGTAAGCAGAGATTTTGTACCATTAAGCCCAACAGCAGGTACATTGAAGGCACATGCTCTGTGCCATGATCCTGGCAACCATGATCCTGGGGAAAGCTGAGTCAATCTTTCAAAGCTAAACTGGTAGTTGGTGACGAGTTACTTGTGATCAATGATTGCAGGTTGTCTGTAATTGAGGGAGTACATGGGTGATGGAGCAGTGGGGTTACGGAGTGACCCCAGGGAGTGGGCAGCTCTGTGCCCTCGGCCTTGTACACTGCTGCAGGCCTGCAGCTTAGGTGTTAAATGTCATCAGATGGATTTTTGTGCACAAGAGTATGGAGGCAAGCAAACATCAGGCTTTAGAAGAAGCAGTATTTCAAATGTCAAATGATACCAAATGATAGCACAGGAGGCAATGGGAGCAGGCTGGAGCACAGGAGGTTCAACCTGAACATGAGGAAAAACAACTTTACTGTAAGGGTGACAGAGCACTGAACAGGCTGCCCAGAGAGGTTGTGGAGTCTCCTTCTCTGGAGACATTCAAAACCTGCCTGGACGCGTTCCTGTGTGACCTGGTCTGGGTGATCCTGCTCTGGCAGGGGTTGGACTGGATGATCTCCAGAGGTCCCTTCCAACTCCTGATATCCTGTGATTCTGTGATTCATATTCTGTCTATAAATAAAGGCGATTTTGTGAAATGCTAGTCAAATGAACGAGTAGGAATAGTTAAATTCTACAGTTAATTGTAGCACTATGTTTTATGTATCTATGATTTGTCTATAAATTACACTCGATCCGCCTGGGTTCATCCTTCAAGAGGGTTTTTAGTGATTCTTCCGTACTGGAATAATCCCACACTGGCTCCAGTCAATTCAATGAGCAGTTTCAACACCCTGAAATTTGGCTTTTTTTAATTATTTTTTTTTTCCTCAAAAAAGAGAAACATAGGAAGAGAATAGATCACTTCTTTTTTGAAACATGGAAAGACCAAGTTTAGTAGCTTAGCAAAGGAAGAAATTGGGACATTTTAGTAATATCGAGACCAGTATACTGTATAAATAAGATTGTCTTACTATACAAATTCTGGTTTAGGTATTAGAGCATCTTTGAGTATACTGGTATCTTCTGAACCTTTGCATGAACTTTTGTTCATGAACTTTTTTGTTGTTTGTTAACACAGGGCTTCAGCCATTTTGAGCTTTTGGTCTCTCTCCTTTTACAGCAGAATCAAATTTTAGGAGCGATTTTTCTGGGCATGCCTTTGGGGTAGAGTTTACGGTTCCCTTTGTGCTTGGAAGAAGAGGTTTCCGGCAGTGTATTGAAATCACAGCTTCCCAGCTCACCTACACCCCACTGTGATGGTATCCAGCATCTCTCTGGCACCCCTGCTCCTCAGGGATGAGGAAACATAGTGGGCCTTGCTCAGCCCTGCGCTTTGTGGGACATGAGCTGGCCTGATTTTAAATATACACATATACATATAAATATATGTATTTATTTAAATAAATAAACATGTATTTTCTGGTAGCTGGTGACTTTGCCTTGCTGTCCGGGTCCTGTGCCACCAGTATTGCAGTTCACTTTGTGTTTCTTCCTGCGAACCTTCGCAGCAGCATGACCGGAACACTTCCCTGTAGCTCAATGCAGAGCTCTCATTTCAGAAATGGTATCGATGGAAATCCAGCTGCTTACTTTATTATAGTTTCTTGAAGATCGTGCAGAATTTGCCTATAGAGCCCTTGGCTTCAAGGCAAGTCATGCTGGAATTTGCTTCTCTCTCAAAATATTTGTCAGCCTATGATGCCTGTAAGATGGCTAAAATGTTTTATTCTCTAAAGTGTGGTCCGGGCCCAGAGAGAGAGAGGGGCAAGGTAGCATTCAATATACTATAGCCGATTTTCAATTAATACAAAAGCTCTGTTAACTCCAAT